GTGGGATTATTTCTCCCCAGGTGCAGGACCTTGCACTTGCCTTTGTTGAACTTCAGGAGGTTCCTCTCCGCCCACCTCTCCAGCCTGTCCAGGTCCCTCTGAATGGCAGCACAGCCTTCTGGTGTATCAGCCATTCCTCCCAGTTTTGTATCATCAGCAGAGTTGCCGAGAGTGCACTCTGTCCCTTCCTCCAGGTCATTGATGACTATATTGAGCAAGACTGGACCCAGGACTGACCCCTGGGGGACACCACTAGCTACAGGCCTCCAACTTGACTCTGCGCCATTCACTACAACCCTCTGAGCTCGGCCATCCAGCCAGTTCTCAAGCCACCTCACTGTCCACTCATCAGCACTTCCTGAGCTTCCCTAGGAGGATGTGATGGGAGACAGTGTCAAGAGCCTTGCTGAAGTCCAGGGAGACAACATCCACTGCTCTCCCCTCATCTACCCAGCCAGTCATTCCATCCGAGAAGGCTATCAGATTGGTCAAGCCTGATTTCCCTTTGGTGAATCCACGCTGACTACTCCTGATCACCTTCTTGTCCTCCAGATGCTTAGTGGGGACCTCCAGGATGAGCTTTTCCATCACCTTTCTGGGGATGGAGGTGAGGCTGACAGGCCTGTAGTTCCCTGGCTCCTCCTTCTTGCCCTTTTGGAAGCCTGGGGTGACGTTGGCTTTCTTCCAGTCCTCAGGCACCTCTCCTGCTCTCCATGACCTTTCCAAGATGATGGAGAGTGGCCTAGCAAAATGGGCAGTGCCAGCACAAAGCTGAAAAACTGATTTGTTATATCCATAGTGTGCTCTCGGGAGGACTTCAAGGAACAGATAGAAAAATGTAAATGAGAAATAACAGGCTATAAATGCATAGGATATGAATGAAGACTAAGATAAATGGTCTACCTGTGAATAAAATCATGCTGCATGTAATAAGAAAAAAAATGCTCTTCTCAGATGCTAGTGGATTATAGACTGTGGCCTTGTGGCAGTTCATTCCCTCTCACAGAACATGCTAGAAAGTTGCCCCATGTTTGACCCCAGGCTAGTGGTGACTGTCTTCAACCAGGTCCATCCTAGGTGGCCAGCAGCGTGCGCCTGCACCACCTGCTCCTGCCAATCAAAGTGGCTGCAATTTGCATAAAGGGGTCCAAAATGAACAAATCACAAACTGTCTCATGAAATCATATGGCAAGCTGAAACTGAAGATGATGAGGAGGTCTGCATGGGGAAGAAGACACTTGGCGGCCTTGTTAAAGGCCGGAAGAAGCCAAGCAGCCTTGATAAAGGCTAAACCCCCGCAGAAGATGCCAGCACTGGAGCCAAGGCAGCAGGACTGCAGACCCCTGACCAGCGGGAGACAGAGAGACTAGGAGCGGTGGAGCACCCCCCATCGAGGACTCAGCATCCCCCTTGGCCTGGGACGCCAGACCAAGAGCATCCGTGGGTGCCGAAGGCACCAGACTAGCGGCCACCCAGGCCAGAGCTCCACCTACTTCAAACTCGCAAGTTCCTTGGGGCATGGCGCACCTCGCTCCTGCGGCCTACGCAGCCCCACGGTGTCATACCAGAGGGGAGGGGAAGACACATCTGCCCAACGTGGCCTGTCCAGGTCTTTGTTTCCTGCAGGTATTTCTGTCTGTCTATACCCCTTGGTCATGCCAGTGTGGTGTCAATATACCTATGTGGTTTGTATGTATTGTGTCCATGGTGGAAAGTTCCTGTCAATATATGTAAATGAGACATTGTTAATATAGTTATTCAAAAGTTATATTGCTGTTACGTACATTGTTGTAAAGCCATTTATTAGAGTAAAAAATCCTCTACTGATACCTGAACCTGTTTGGATTTACAGTTCAGTGTTTAATAAAGCCTTTTAGCATGCCTTTTAACTGGTGTGGTCAATCTGCTCCCGCGAACCTTAACCAGCCTACCCTGCAAATTCATCTTGCAGGACACATACTTAGAACCAAAGAAGAGTCAAAAATATATGATAGGTACAGTCAACATATTCTTTAACTGGATGCCAGTTTTTCTAGTAGAAACCAGCAGGACTACCACAATAGCTTGTGGTAGAACAGATTTTTTTTCAAAGACCTATCTATAAAAATAGAACTGCATCAGAGAGCCCACAGTATAGGAAACTTCTACAAAAGAGTCCATAAACACGTATGAGAGATTCATGTTCCTTTGCCATACTCGATGCAGGAGGAAAAGGCAAACGGACTCTTAGTACCAATATTAAAAATGTCTCAGTAAAACTGAAAAGATTGGCTGCTTTCAAATATGAGCAAATATCAACACCCTAAAACAAAAGACAACAGCAAGACAAAATCACATAGGCAGAAAAATGCAAGCTTTTTGTTGTTGTTCATTATCACAACTGGCTTGCCAAGGGGTATTGACAAAAGGAAAATTATCTGATGTTATCAACCTGGAATAATTAGTTCAATGGTGGATAACCTTAGGTTATGTCAGAGGTTGTTAGACATTTGTAATTTGTCAAGCTCTATAAACAAATGCCCCTTAATGTAATTTGCAGTTTGGGTTCAATGATGCCACATCCAGCAGAGTTAGTTATTTTAAACTACTCTGTGCAGTTCCAGTCTCCAGTGTATTAACTGCATAGCATTTTTGCCAATATTGGAATTGCTTTGATAAATTACAGTGACTGATAAATTGGCCATTGTCCATTCAGACAGCTGCTAAGAGGAAAATACCTGCAAGGAGCAGCATTGTGGCAAGACAGAGTATCTACGGGGAGCAGCATAAAAAGCCTGAAGACCATCTGTTCCATAGAAGCAGTCTTGATATACACATAAATGTCACAAGTTAACATCAAATCTCTTGTTTTGGTCAGACTGGCTTGACATCGACCTGCGTAACAGAGGGCTGACCGCTACAGTACTGTCTGCTTCACCTGTGGGCATCTCCAGCAGCTACAATATAAATAGGCAGTACAGCTGAATAACTGACAAGAAGAGCTTTCCATAGGGAAACCTGATGTTGCTCCTCTGCGTTTCTGTTTTGTATCTGATGCAGCTAACTGTCGTTGAAATTCTTCTGAGTTGCAGGCACACCCAAAGTGAGCTGCATCTCTGGTATGAGCTTAGATCACTACCTGCAAGACTTAAGCATGCACGTGCGTCCTCCAACCTTAAATTTTAAAATGGCGTTAGGACAAAAAGATATTTTCTTTATAGAAATGAGCAATAGCATCAATAAAGCACAAAATCCTGATGTGCTTTAATATATGGAGGTAACTTAGGAATACTCATTTTAATATATAACTAAAGGTTAGTACTGAGGATTTAATGGTTTTGTAAATGCTGTTGATTTTGTGGTATTAATATCAGATGACATTTTTACACTTTGCTATAAGAGTATATATTCTGGGTAGAGCACTGTTATCTCTTGCATAAATGAACTGAGAAAAATCTTCACCCTGTTACAATGAGCAGGGCAATAAGAAAGAGATATTTAGTAATGACTATCCTGAAGATACTCGTACTAGACTGTACTTGTGAGCAGTTGTCCTAAAATGTTTTTGACTTGTAATTAATTTGGCACTGGGATGATAGGTTTCCGCACATAGCGTAGAGAAAGGCTCTTAGGAGAAAAAAGGAGTAAAATACTGAGTCCTACTGCTGGCTAGTAGAGAGCACTGGGTGAATACAAATGGCTTTAAGGTTTGCTGTGGTTCTGGGATGTTTCGATCCAACTGAGATAAGAGACTGCAGGGATTTTTCTGTGATGCTGTGACTGTCACCACTCATACTCCATTGGTCTATTTGTTGGGAGCAGGAGTGTCAAACAGATGTGTGTTAACAGGGACAGTGGCTTGACGTATGGGTTCTGTAGCTGTAAGCGCTGCTCCTTCTCTTGTATCGATTGGACTTCAACAGAAGACACTGTCTGTAGCCTCATCTGCTTTATAAGTCTTCTTTGGTTGTTACGAACATTCACTCTGAATTCTGACGTGGATACAGTTTGGGAAAAGCACAGTGCGGACTGAAAATGAAAATGTACTGTTTTACTGCTTGCAGCTTCCATTTTGAAAAATTAGCAGTGAGTGAGAGGTCAACTACTTGGTGAATAAACCTGAAACTAGAGGAGTCCTTGGCTTAGTCAGGCTGAGATGTCCCTTTAGTTCTGACTCTAGGCAATATTTTAATGAGAGAGTCTAGTAAAATATCTTGAGGGTAAAACGTGGTAACAGCCTACTAACATTTTCTTATTTGATTAATAAGCTGCAAGTGTGAATGGTGTTCCAGTAATAGGTATATAATTTAATGGGGAAAATCACTTCACCCTGAGGGAGCAGTAAGCTTTTCTGCATGAGTAATGCATGAGAAGGTGAGGAACACAAAATCGTCTTCT